CTTCATAACTTTATACTATTTGCCATGCGCAGCTTCTATACTTTTTTTTTTTTTTTAATTTAAAAAGAAATAGTAAAAGTCCCTTTGCTTCAGGGTTCATCTTGGAAACCCTTTTCCCAAGGACTGAGACAGACAAACCCAAACACCTATTACTATTCTATAGTGCTTTGTGGCTATCTGGCCTATAGCACCCAACCTGGATAAATCTAAGCTCTACACAATTCCTGTAGGTTTTTGTTTCTCTCCCAAAAGAGGTTGCCCTGGCTAAGCAGAATGTGTAGCAGGTAATCTTAACCACAGAGGACCCCACTGGGAGACAGGTCTGGCAGGCGGCCCTATCAATATGGCCATCCTAAGGAATTCTTCAGCTCACAGAAAGAATGAAGCTTGAGAGCAGTGGATCTCTCCCTGGCCCAAGGCTTCTGTCCCTACAAAAGGAGATTCTGTGGGCTAAGTACCTAGCAGGGTGCCTTGCACGTGTGAGCCTCCTGTAAGTAGCTGGGCTTATGGCCACTATCTTCGCCAAGGAAGGAGAAGGAGGATGATGGGATATGTATGGTAATGGTGAGGTAAGCTTCCCCAGAGAGCTGGAGGCCACGGATAAAAGTTGAATATGCATATAAATACTTTTGTCTGTTTGTTTAAACTAGCACATTGTAGCTGAAAAGCTCTTTTAAGTTCCACCTCCAATATTGCTTGCTCTGTGACCTTGGACAAATCACTTCCGCATCTCTAGGTCTCACTTTCTTTGTCTATAAAATGGAGATTTGGACTAAATTCTTGTTGAGATCTAGTTGGCCAGTAACATTTTATGATTTTATGTTAATATAATAATCTGATAATCTAAGTAAAGTAACAGAAGTACAGGAAAGAAGAAACCACCGATTATTACATGCTGCTTACGTTAAATTACCTTGTTTCCTTGGGCATACAGTACCCATCACTGGGCCTGTCTACCGGTGCCCTTCCCCTGGGGAACATCACTCCTTCCCAATGTTCACCTTCTGACTCTGACCCTGCTACTCTACCCTCAAGGTCAAACAGAAAAGACGACCCTACCATATATTCTCTCTCACTCCCCAGAGCATTCAAATTAAAGTATAAACTGAGTTTGTGCTTTGGGGGTCTTTACGGTGCGGTGGCCAGAGACCTAGACTAAGAGTCAGGCCAGTCCCCACCCTGGTTTATCATCAGTTCACTATGTGACCTTAGACAAGCCACTTCCCCTCTCTGGTCTTAGCCTCGTCTATAAAATGAGGGGTTGGATGGGTTTCCCTTTATGAGCCCTATTCTAATATCCCCCTGCTCATCCCTATGGTGGCTACCAAGGCTGGGAGAGTCCAGAACCTGCAGGCCAGCATTTCTCCAACTGCTCCAGCATCCCCAGCAAGCTAGTGTCAAAATATGAGTGCAGCCAAGTGTCTGCATTCAGTTCTGGGAGCCAGAAATCAGGCAAGACGCACAGGGTCAGGGGTAGCCCCTGCCGAGCTCAGGCCTCTCCAGCCAGGGCACGCTGTTCCCACCCAAAGCTGGATTCTGCAGCTTTTCTCCCAGATGTGCTCTTACTTGTAGGACAAGGACAGACAAGGCCCTCCAAAGGAATCAGAAACATGTGCTTGAGGGACCAGACCAGAGCAGGGGTTGGAGTTAAAGATTCCTTGTTTGTTAACACATGGTATTAGCTAAGGTATAACATACCTACAGGAAAATGCACATGTACATGAACAGCTTTATATATTTTCATGAAATGAGTGAAATATGCACCCAGGTCAAGAAACAGAACAATGCTTATGCCCCAGAAATCCCACTCGTGCCGCCTTCCAGTCACTAGTTCCCCGGATAATCACTATTCTGACTTCTAGCACATCTGATTCATTTTGCCTGTTTTGAACTTTAAACAAATGGAATTATACAGTATGGTCTATTTAAATCTGGCTTCCTTTGCCCAACATTATAATTGTGAGCTTCTTCCATCAGTACAAGTAAGAATGAAAAATGACTGCTATTCATTTTTTATTTTTGCAAACGAAGGACTTAATGAGGACCTAAAATCAACGAGACAGCCCTGAGAGCAGGCTAAGATAGTCGCTGATAGTCAAGGAAGCAGATTTACATACAGCTCTCCCCAAAATAAGAATGACCCCTGTCCCAGCTTTCTTCCTGCAGAATCCCACACCTTCCTCCTGGGGGCTCCGTAAATGGGAGGCAGGGCTTTGATGCCCCAAACTTACTTCAAAGGCCAGAAGCTCTTGTTCATTGAGCACTTACCTTGTGCCCAGCTCTGTGAGGGACATCACAGACTCAGTATCTCTCTTAATCCCCACAACTGTGAGGTGGGGACTATTATTATTCCTATCTTACAGTAAGAAAACTGAGGCCCAGGCAGGTTGAATAAGTTGTCCTAAGGTTGCACAGCTAGGAAAGGGGCTGCAACCCCAATCTGTGTGGCCCCTAAGGCCAAACCTCTTCTCTACTCTGTGTTGACAGGGAACTTGCCAGCTGCATCTGGCCCCCACCTATGTCTCCAACCTTATCTAGCACCGGCAGCTCCCATTCTGAGGCCACACTGGCCTCCTGCCAGCAGCTCAAGCCCTTCCCCTCAGGGTTTATATCCACACTGTTGCCTCTATTTGCATACTAACCCCTGAGTTCTCAAATTAATAGTCACTTCTCAGAGCGGTCTGCCCTCACCACCCAGTCTAACCCACACCCCTTATTCTCTCAGAGCATCCTGCTCTCTCCTTTCATAGCCCTTAAGCCGTACTATAATGATTTATCCTTTCATGTTCCCTTATTCACTTGTTTAGTGCCTTTCTCCACCAACGGATCATAAGCTGCATGAGGGCAAGAATGTGTCTGTTGGTTTACCGTTGCCTTGGACAGTGCCTGGCTCACGGTAGGTCCTCAATAGTATGTTAAGTGAAGAAAAGAAGGGGAAGAGAGAAAGATAGAACTGTCCCTTCAGAAGCTAAGCGGTCATCCGGAGGTAGCTCTAGTTCCAGCCAGTTTATGGCCCCAGGTAAGACCTTCCCCCTCTAAGCCTCAGTTCCTTATTTATCAGATGGAGGGTCACTTAGAAAGAACCTCTAATGGCCTTCTAGCTCATATGACTGCTAGACCACAAAACCTAGGATATCAAACCATTCCAAAGGCCTCAGACCTCTGCTACCTCTTAACCACCCTATGTCCAGTTACTATTTTAGAAAAGTAGGCAGGGTGCCTTTAAGGCTCCCCAGGCTGTGAGGTACATGGGGCCTTCACACCCTGTAACAGGGAGGACCAGAAAACATGAGATCTCTTTCAGTTTTAATAGCCTTGATGCACGGAATGGGGGAGAGACAAGACTAGGAAGGAATAATAGATGAATTCCCCCAGACACTGCTTCTACTTCCTTCTTCAGAGTCTCCCCCACCCAGCTTCTCAGTTCTCAGCCCACTGAAACACTAGTCCCATCCAACTCTGCCCTTGTCATCTGCACAGCTGCTCCCACTGCCAGCTAGAGCTCCAAGAGGGCAGAAACTATGTCCTTCTTATCTTTGTACCCATAGCACTTAGCAGAGACACCCCATATACACACACACACACACACACACACACACACACACACACACACACACACACACACACAGGACATGGCTGAGGTGAGGCCACCAAATCAAATGCCATTGGCAGGATCTGCTGCTGAGGATCCAACTTTCTCCCTGGTGTCACCGAAGTCAGGAGAAGCGCCTGAGATAAAGAGAACCTGGCTTCCCATTCAGAGGCAGACTCCAACTGACCACCCCCCGCCTGTCCTCCTTCTACCCCTTCACCAGGCCCCAGATTGCCAGTGTCAGATGGTCTCTGACATAAGGCGCAGGAGTCATCCCTCTCTGGGATCTCTGCATCACTTCTGCCCCAATCCAGCCAGCCGACCGGTCACCCAGGACTAGCAATGCCTAAACTTGAAGCAACTTTTTCTTTCATTCTTCTCAGAGTAAGGCTTTAGCTTTGAAGCAATTTCTGCTTTGTCTTTAAAAGAAAGTAAAGAATTAGTCCTGACTCGAGAGCTCTATAAAGGGGAAAGGCATTGAGTTTTGTTTTTTGGATACAGTGGAGACCCTAAACTCCCAGGTTTTTACTCTGCTGGGTGTATGAAAGAGTGAGGCTGGTGTACTGGTGAGCAAGTGTGAGTGTGCAAGTGCTGTGGTCATAGGGGACAGCACAACAGGTGTGCAGTTACAAACTGGACTGGCCAGGCCGTGGCTATGTCATTTGCTGGCTGAGCAACTTTGGGCAACTTGCTTAAATGCTTTGGACCACAGTTTCCTCATCTGAAAAACATGAGTAAAATAATCCCCATTTCATGCATTGTTGTGAGAATTAAACTTCAGTAAAACACCATCTAAATATTAGCAGTTGTTAGAAATGGAAGGCGAAAAGAGTGCTTTGGAAATTCTTCGTTTCTCCCCAAACAGTAGCTACTTTCAAATCTCAGAGGTTAACTCTGGCTGCATCCTGGGTTTAGCAAACCTGAAAACGCACCCAATAACTCAGATCCTGGGCATCTTCATGACTAGGTTCGCGTGGTTTGTTACTCAATGCAAATCCACTTTCAGGAGGATTACTTCACCTCCCATTCAGGCTCTGAGCTTATGAAACAAAATCCTGGGAGCCATGGAGAATGCCAAGTGGGGCTCAGAGAAGAAAACCAACGGGTCAGGTCTCAGTCCAGAGCCTAAAGAGGGCTTTCTGAGAAAAGTAACAGATAAACTAAAAATCATTTGGATCCACCATAACTCTTACTGAAAACCCAGAACTCGACAATTCTAGCCCCTCTGGCGAGGTTTTATTTCCAGAGATGACTATCTGTAAACCCACCTGTGAAGATGAATAAACCTCAGGATTGTTTTTAAAGCTTCCCACAAGCTCGTGCCCTATGAGATCAACTGGCAGGTGTACCAAGAGAAGCGTATTCTTGGCTCCATCTTGCATCCCCTCCACCTCTCACAGCCTCTTACCTTCCCAGCTCCTCTCCAATGTCGTAAAAGTCTTCCACCTTTTGCTGCTTGAAAGTCTCCATGTTTGGGCTCCTCATTGAGGCCTGGAGCATAGAGGCCTGAAACTGAAGACACCTGAGATTAGGACAGATGTGTAAACTGGCACAAGCCTAAGAGTCTGCCCTAAAAGTAATCGGCTGAAGGGACTTAATAATTTTACAATAATCCACAGCCCTAGTTCCTCAAGAAATGCCCTCTCCTATGACCTACTGACACTGTATAATTCTTATTTGATTTAGATTAATTCAGATTTGTTAAGGAGACATAAAGAGTCCTTACTTCTTCAGATCTGTTCTGAACTAGTTCAGAGAAACAGAGCTATCCCAACTTCGAAATTTGTTCTCAGGAAATTCAGGTCCACTGAGAAAAGAAGCAGCCGTGATGTAGGAGGTAAAGCACTCGTTTCTGAGTCAAAAGATCTGGGTTCGAGTCCCAGTTTTGCTTGGGTAAGTTATTTAAACTGTGGAAGACTAAGCTTCCTTGTCTGTAAAAGAGGCCAACGCTATAAAAAAACCAGCCACAAATAATGAAATTATTTTGTAACCTATAAAATATAATTGAAAGGTAAGGGATTGTCATGACCTCAGCTCCCTCAGGGGCTGTGCCACCGAATGCGAGTCTGAACCAATTTATTCGTAAACTCTCACTCATCACCTCAAGGGAAAGGTGGGCGGGAATGGAGTGACAAATTACAACAGGCATCAAGAGTCAGGAGCCTGAGGTTCTAGTTTCAGTTTTGTCCACAGCTAGCTCTATGACCTCATCTGTTATCAGAGAAGCCTCAGTTTCCTCATTTGTAAGATAGAGCTAACTCTGCCTGCCCAGGGCACCTCAGTGAGAACCATGGGACAACCCTGAGCCACGGAGAGCACTCACCACTCTACTAGGAGAGACTGTTTTCATCTTGCCGTGGGATCATCACCCTGCCCCAAGGAGCTCATACATTCCTGGGACAACCACATGCCACCCTGGACAGCACCCCAAGGGCAGGGCCCAGGAGACAGCCTGCAAATCACAAAGATAATACCAGCTGCCTGTGGATGTGTCTTATAAGAGTCATGAACACAGGCCTCTCAGAGCTCATTTTGGCAAGTGATGACAGTTTTTCTTCTGCCTGCCAATCAGATACCAACCACGCCCAGGCACCATGAACCCCAAAAGACTGTTTTCACCAGGCTGGGTAGAGGCACTATTACATAAAGATGCATCTTGTCAATGCCAAATGGCTGGACTCTCAGGCAATGTGTATGTTTCACCCTCTTTCCTTCACCTTTGCCCTCTGAAAACCAGAGCTCTGTTACCAGGATGCCACCAGCCTTCCTCCCTTCCACTGAAGCACACACACCCTGACTCTCAGGGTCACCTGCCGACCTCCTGCATGTCAGCACTCATGGTCCGTCACACATCCTCCTCCCTACTTGGTCTTCACTCTGTGGTAGGCCAGGGCCAGGTGAGCATGGGATACTAAAAACAGCAGGCTCTAAGAGCCCTGGTTCTAGGCTAGTCTGGGCATATGGGTGACTCACAGCCAGTTGGCACCCTCCCTGAACCTCGCTTGGTTCCCCATA